CATTTAGATACACGCTACCACGCGCGAGGACCACGGACAGCTGTACACCTACGAGGACCTCATGGCGATCCAGATCAAGGGTGCAGGACAGGAGGCCCGCAATGACCTCTACCACTTGCATGGATGCGAGTGACGCGGGAGATGGAGCGGCCTCGCAAGTTCTTCAGGCCCTCGATCCAAAACCACTTCTACAAGCAGATGAGGAGATGCACCTGCGTGCAGATGACTCTCGTCATGTACGACCATAGCAATGACGAGTGCGACAGGGGCATGAAGTCATATGAGTGGCTGTTGGGTCAGATCGCTAGGCAGATGCTGGGGGGCCGTGTGTGTGTCCGTGTGTGTGTGCGTGTGTGCGTGTGTGTGTGTGTGTGTGTGTGTGCGTGTGGGGGGGGGGGGCGCAGGGCCCAGAAGCAGCATGTCAACAAACGCGGGGTGAGATCTGTAGCTGGCAAGGGCGGCGATGGAGGTATGGGCTCGATCGCCATGAAGGACGGCCAGCTTAAGAAGGCCGTCGTATGCCGACGCTGGCTCAAAGGCGCGCGCCCATGCACTCGGGATGACTGCCAATGCCTGCGTCCCAGAGAGGCGACGCCCGCGCAGAACAGCAGCGCGAACAAGCCCAGGCAGGGCCCACCCATGGAGGCAGGGGGGGCAAAGCCGACTCCAAGGGCAAAGGTAAAGGAGACAGCAAAGGGCCATGTAAGGGCAAAAATGACAGTAATGGCGGAAAGGCTGACTGGTCCAAGAAGCAGGGCGGGGGTGGTAACAGCAACCCGCCGCCGAACAACAAACGCAAGGCTTGCTATGCGTTCAGCCGGGGCCCCCAGGACTGCGACGGCTCGCGCGGTCGCGAGCGCCGCCCGCTCACGAAGAAGGGTAAGATGGAGCGGGACATCCGGGAGCAGAACCTGCAGAAGGCCGGCGAGGGTCTTCCTTGCAGCCGGAACGCGGAGCAGACGGCCGCAGCTGAGAAGAACGCGCAGGCTTCGAAGCAGTCGGCCGCCCCCGCGCCTGACGGCGGGAAAGCGCAGGGCGGCAAAATAAGCGAGCAGAAAGGCAAGGCCAAGGCAACGTGCCGGTACCACCTGGGCGGTCAAACATGCCTTTGGGAGACAAGTGCCGGCGCGCGGCCGACGCCTCCAGGCATCCTTGATCCGGGGGGGCGGCGTGCAGCACCCGTGGTGCTGGCGCCGCCCTGGCGGGGATTGCCCCGGGAGAATCTTGTGCGGTCCCCGCGACGGAGGTGCAGCAGGCCGCCTCAGCTGTGCCATTCGCCGGGTCACGATCCCGAGCGATGCCGCAGGAGCAGCTGGCCAGCTCTGTAAAATCATTGTCAAACGAAGCGCTTAGCCAATGCCATTCGACCAATGTGCTACAGGGAGCGGGCCCTCTAGACGCTCGCCGCCCCTCAGTCGTCGCAGAGCCCGGCGAAAATTCCCGTGTCAGGATGCTGAGGCGCACGATAGCCGGCGGGATTCTATCGTATCCTGATGGGGGCGCTAGACCTGCTCAAGTCGAGGAAGCCCGAGCAGAGCTCGCTGCGCCATGACGCTGGGGGCAATAAAAGGAGGCGGCCGAAGGCTGCCGTCAAGAACAGAGAGGTGAAGTTTCACCCGTCTGCGCGCACCCCCACGCCATGGGCGCTGCGGGAGCTGAGGAAGGAAGAGCCGATGCCGATCGTCGCGAGGCACGGCGACCCATTCAGTTTCCCGAGCAAGTGGAGGAATTGGCGTGACAAGATTACCCGAGTGCATCAGCAGTTCGCCAACGACGACGCGAGCGAGCTGGAGCACGAGGCACGGAGGCTGTGGCTGGATTGGGAGCAAGAGCCCACGTCAGAGGGCGGATCCGCCAACGATGTTAGCGAAGGCCATGCCGACGCTGCGTCTGGAAATCGGCACAGTCAAAGGAAATCAGCACGGGGGAGCAACGGAGCTGTGAAGCCAGGATCGACGCGCTTCATCATCGCCGCTGGCTGCGGATCCAACCTCATCGCTCTCAAGTATATTCAGAACGCAGGCGCCATCGGGCAGATGAAGGAACTGAAGGTTCCGATGACGCAACACGGCAGGAGGGCTCTCCAGCGCTCTCGGAACCGTGATGGTGGCCTGCGACCGGCTGATGATGAGTGGAAAGTTCGACGCGATCGTCATGCCTGGAGCGCCGAGCGTGATATCCGTGGGCGAACTTTGCATGGGTGTAGCGGCTATAGCTTCTGCTGGAGGAAGGGCAAAACGCCGTATCTTCGCCTGCCCAACGGCATGGGGCTGGACCTGACGGTGGGCGACAAGATACCGTATCTCAACGTGGGGGGGAGAGAGGCTCTGGGTCAAGTAGACGAGGCAGTCCCCGCCCACCCTGTGGAGTTAGAGCGATGGGCTTGTGTGGAGGCTAACGCGAAGTCTTACTTGACAGACCCCGAGTCAGCGGGTGCCCCCCCGCTCCGGGCTGTCAGGTACCGCGCGACCTTGGACGTGCGCTCGCAAGAGGTGATCGCAGAAGATTCATGCGCGGATGGTGAGTCAGAATACCATCCCGACAGTCACTACGGAGGCGTGCCTCATAGAGCCGACGTCGACGGTAGGGACATCATCACCTACTTCAATGACGCCGCAGATATTGCCGCCGGGTTTTTTTCCGGGGTCCTCGAGCCCAAGACGCTCCTTGGAGCCATTACTAGGAGTGGCACGTCTACTACCAGAACATCTGATCATATTGGCCCTGTTGGGCCGAAGTTGGGTAAAGATGCTTCGGGCACATGGCGCCCAGGAGGGGCGGGGGGGAAATAGCGTGCCAAAAACTTGTTTGGTACGCTATTTCCGCCCTGGCGTGTCCTTCGCTCTGGTTTGGATTGTCGGGTTGCACGTGCTCGTCCCTTTCTTTCTCGCTGCTGTCTTAGCTGTGTCTTTGCCCATTCGGATCGATCTGGTTGTGCCCGTCGCCGTTGTCCAGTGTCCTGTTGGCTTAAGCTGTTGTCCTGGCTGTCGGGACCAATGACTTGCACGATTTTCGAAAAGTCGCTTCGGAGACCCCCCCATTGTGACTATGCCCAAGAATCCTTTCCCCCTAGACATCTTTTGTAGCAGCTGGTCGACCGACCCGTGAGGACATAGATCGGGCTGTAAGTCGCCCCCAGTTTTTCATCCAGAAGGTCTCGCAGTAGTTGGTGTTCCTGGGATTCCAGTCATTAGTATGCCTTCGAATCGTGGCCGTGGCGGCCGGCAGCCTGGGAGGGGGAGGCGGGGTGTGTGCTCTGGCGGGCGTGGGGCGGGAAGAGGTCGTTGCGCCTGACGTGCGGGCCCCCGCTCAGGGCTGCGCATCCATACGGGTGCCCATCGACCAAGCCAGTTTGCGTGCTGTGAGCTTTAGGGGGGCTCGAATCGTGAAACGTCTGGTTTCGAAGAAACCTGTAGTGCCGTTTTTTCCGGCTCCGAGGTCGTTAGCTTGACAGGGGCTTCATGGTAATTTTCTTTGCTCTGCTCCTCCTGCTCCTGCTGTTCCTCCCCTTCCTCCTTTTCCTCCTCCTCCTCTTGGTCCTTCTCCCTGTCCTCCCTCCCGCCCTCCACCTCGTCCTCCTTTTCCTGCTCCTCCTCGCGGAGGAACTATTTTGCATTAGTTTTTGGGCCCCAGTCCGTCAATCAGGTCGCTGAAGAGACAATTAGCTTCCAACTATTGAGGGGGTGGGGTTCTGAAGACCTATTGCGGTTATAGGCGGAGATGCAAAAGGACCAGGGGATAGCACGGGGCATTGGAGTCAGCTTGGGGTCTGAGGTGGCCCAGCACTGGTTCCAGCCAGCAAGAACGGGGGGTGCGAGGTTCGAGATTCTGGGTTCGAGGAGGTTTTTGTTTTTTGTTGTTTCCGGTTTCCGGCAGCCGCTTGTGGGCTCCAGGACCATCAAATTGGATCCCGGGGTGAACCATTGCATCAGATGGACCCCAGCAGAGGTCCAGGGACCGATTTTGAACGGATTTTTTGTATCCTCCTCAATTGTAGATTCTTTCCGGGGCCCATTCAGCTCAGACCCCCCGGCCGCCTCCAAATTAGGACAGGATGCAGGACGTACGACGTAAGTATGGGTTACGGCATATGGTGTACCAACATAAGGGATATCGAAGGTCGGATATTGAACATCGGAGGATGAGAGCATGACATGAGGGATATAAGACGCAATGCCAGCGCGCGTGTTTTCTTTCAATCCACTGCGCATTATGCTTTTGGAACATGGAGGGTGAGAAACTATGTGATACCTAATGGCCTTCGGCCCATCCAGCCACATTGCCTGGATCAGAGTCTTCTTGGATGCTTATCGGGGTCTGTTGAAACATCTCTTGTGGGCTTCTTAGGGGCCTATTGAGGACCTCTTGGAGGCCTCTCTGAGCCTCTTTGTCGCCTCCGGGCGCGTCTCTGAACTTTCTTGGCGGTCTTGACGGGCATCTCGGCACAACAGGTCTCGACTGGTCAGTTCGGGTTCTCCCCTCCTGAGGTGAGAACATTGGAGATATAATCCTTTTCAAAGTCCTGGGGCTTCTGGAAAAGTCACGCGACGATCCCCAAGAGCACCTGGGAACGCCTGTGACTCCTGGGCATTGTGGCCTTCAAGGAGTGTTTGCGCTATCCGATGCCGACCGAGAGAACAGTTCAAAGGGACCCGAGGACACTTCACTCCATGCCTGCTGCACGGTGGTGGGTGTGTGCGGCACGGATTTGCTCAGGGCTGGGCCTGTGCCCCCCCTGCCTCGCCTGCCTCGCCTGCCTCGCCTGCCCCCCTCCATTCCCTCCGACCGTCCGTCCCCCCTTCTCCCTGTCTCTGCTTCTCGCTGGCTTCAGACGGCTGTCCGCACAGTCTGCCCTCCCTGCCCGCCTCACTGTTCTCCCCTCCTGCTCCGCCTGCTCCTCCTGCTCCTCCCGCTCCTGCTCCCCCCGTCTCATTCTGTCCTTCCCCTTACTCCCTCCCCTCTCCATGACCTCCCCTCCTCCCCCCCTCCCTCTCGGACAGGAGCCCGCCGCCTCCGACGTGGCGTCCGTGCGCTCCGCTTCCCCGCGCCGCTCGAAGTCGCCGCCCGCGGCGAGGCGCCGCCCCACGCGCCCTGGTCATGGCCGCGCGCCCCGGCCGGCCACCTGGCCGGCGGCTGCGGGATGCTTCCATCTTCGGGAGCGTCTAAGAGAAGGGGTGGTGACTGGGGAAGAGTGGATGTCATGGCCAGGGCCACGAAGTCTCACCAGATGACGGAAAGCGCGCGAAGCGTCGCGATCCGCTAGCCGGGAGACATAACAAGGGTGGGTGTGGGGGGGTAGGCAGGTCCACCCCCAGTTTTCGGCCCAAGATGGCCCAGGTCAGTTCCAAGAGCCTACGAGGCCCCCAAGACGGCCCGAGACAGCCCCAAGTGCGGCCTAGATACCTTCCAGACGGCGTCGGAGAGGTCCAAGAGGGCCCAAAGACGGCCTAAGAGCGCTCCAAGAGGGCCCAATGTGGCTTCAAGACAACCCAAGAGGCCCCAAAGAGGCCCTAAGAAACCTCCAAAGGGGACCGCCAAGAGGCAAACATCGTCCCCATTCCCTTAGAAAAACGTGCGTTTTTTGCATATTCGCTTCTTTGGTCTTCACAGCGTGCAAAACAGCCCAGGTGGCCCCCAAGACCGCACCATGACGGCCCCAGAGGGCCCCCAAGACGGCCCAAGAGGGCGTCAAGGCGGCCCAAGAGAGCCCTAAGACGGCCTAAGAGAGGCCCATGAGGGTCCCAAAAGGTTCCCAAGAGAGCCCCAAGAGGGCCACAGGAGGTACCCATGGGGACCCTGGAGGGCCCCCAGAGGGCCCCATAACTGCCCAAGCCCGCCAAGATGGCCCAATAGGGTCCCGGGACGGCCCAAAAGGGCCCCAAGACGGCCTAAGAGAGTTCCAAAAGGACCCCGGGGAAGTCCCAGAAATGCAATGTTTAATCTTTGATTGTTGATGGGAGGATGTTTGCTTCTTGGGGGCTCTCTTGGCGGCCTCTTGGGGCGTTTTGGGGGCCTCGTGGGCCGTCTTCGGACCATCGAGGTTCCTCTTGGAGCGCTCTAGTGTGCTGTCTTGGGTCTCTCTTGCGCCTCTCCGATGACACCTCTCATTACTTTGAGTCTGCTCGCAAAGCCCGGCAATGCGCACTGGGAGGCCCGGAAGGGCCAGCAGACCTTTTCCAAGGGCGTCCTGGGGGCCTCCGAGACGTCCGAAAGGGCGTCCGGGGCGTCCTTGGGGGAGGGTCCGGTTTAGGGTGGGGGTGGGGGGGTTCTGGGCAATAGAAACATGCGAATAGGAACGCATACCGGCGGCGAGCTAGGGGGAAGTGTGAAGGAGGAGGCCTGCTCAGAAGGTGGCGGGGCTTCTCAGAAGCTCTCCGGCCGTCTAAGAAGTTTTTTTGGTCTTCGGGGAAGCCCAGAAAACCTCGCAGAAAGCCAGGGGACTTCCGAGAGGTTTTCTCTGACAAGGCCCGCCCCCTCTCGCTTCCCCCCCGCGCGCTGGTCGCCGAATCTGAGCCTCTCCCTCCCCCCTCGCCTCCTCCTCCTCCTCCTCCTCCTCCTCCTCCTCCTCCCCGCGCTTCCCCCCCGCCCGCTCCTTGTGCCTCGTGCGCGCCTGGAGCACGGCAGCCCGCGCCCGGAGCGCGAGGCGCAGGCCGCCCTCGGCGAGGAAGCGGTCGAGGAGCAGCGCCAGCTCCAGGAGCAGCGCCTCGGGCGACGCCAGGAGCCGGGAAGCAAGCCTTAGGGGGCCACGTGCGAACCCTACCCCTACCCCCCACGATTTCTGAGAGGGAGGGTGGGGTTCACTTCGTGCGGGAGCTCCCGAGCGAAGTGAACCCCACCCTCCCCCTCAGAAATCGTGGGGGGTAGGGGTAGGGTTCGCACGTGGCCCCCTAAACCTCGGAGGTTGACAGACCTCCTACTCCAGATTTCGTAATAAAAGGGAGGGGGTCTGGACCCGCCAAGACAAGCCATTTCAGACCTCCCCCGTGGGGGAACCCTCCAAAACATCGTCCCCAGACCCCCCCAGGCCCTCCAAGATAGCCTGGAAGAGACCCCCCCCCGAAATGAGACCCCCCTCCCTTTATTACGAAATCTGGAGTACCCTGACGCGTCGATTGAGGAGTCGATGGGCATGTTTTCCGCCACCACCATGATAAGTTGGAGGGGGAGGGGGTCTCCTCCACCTCTTCCTCCTCCTCGTCCTCCACCTCCTTCCCCCCTCCAACTTCTAGTGGTGGTGGCGGAAAACGAGCCCATCAGGAATTGGCCGTTTTCGGATCGCGAGAGGGCGTCGCGGCCGTCATTTTTGCGGGTCCAGGTACGTCGGTTTCGGCCCCAGGCCGTTTTCACGCAGGGGAGGTTTACTAAAGGGAGGTTTGGCCACCGCCGAAAATAGTGGCTCGGCGGCGAGCCTGGGGGTGGGGAGGTGAAAAGGGGGCGGGGGCCCTCTCAGAAGGCTTGGAAGCCCCCCAGTCTCCCGAGCAGTTTTTTCGAACCCTTCCCGATGACACAAACAATTTCTCACAAGGCCAGAAGTCTTCTCAGAAGTCCCGCCGCCTTCTGAGAAGGCCTCCTCCTTCACACTTCGCCCCTCGTTCGCCGCCGAGTGGCATAATCGTAATACATTTCGGAGGCCGTTGGTTGTTTCGGAGGCCGCTGTTTTTTACAGATCGTTTCGCCGATCGGCGTCGGCCTCCACGCCCTCCCACTCCCCCCCTCCATGCACCAGATCTTGGCTGCTTTTGGCGGCTGCTTCTGGCGACTGGCCAGGACCCCCTCACGCCCAGTTTGCTTGCGCGACCGGCAGAAGCAGATCGACTTAGCACCGGCCCAGACACAGATCCGCCCAGACACAGATCCCCACCCCCTCCCCCACCCTTCTGCCCAATGTCGAAACCCAGAATCAAACAACGCCTACGAGGTCCGCGCGGATTTCTCGGATCGGCGCTGGGGCCTCATGGGCGCCGGAGGCGCCGCCCCTTGCGCGCTCCGCGAGCCAGAGAAGAGGGTCCAGCGCCGATCCAAAAAGTCCGCGCGGATCTCCGAAAGTTATGATTTATATTGTCTTCCAAAGGGGGGACGCCCCAAGCCTCGACCCCAGAACCTTCGAACCGTCGACCTTCGAACCAAGAACTCCGCGCGGATCTCAGGTTTTGTTTGTTATGCCTGTGTCCTCGAAGGAGGTCTGCGTCCTGTGTCCTCGAGAGAGGCCCTCGGAATTTCGATATGCTTATGCCATTGCCTGTGTCCTCGAAGGAGGTCCAGAAGCCGCTCCAGGAGCGGGCGGCGCCCGTCTGGGGGGTGGCGGGGGCGGCGCGGGGGTCGCGCGGGGAGGGGGGGGAGGAGCCACGACTGGGCGGCAGAGGCGGCAGTCATTTCGCCTACGCGTGAGAGCGACCCCTCGCCGGAGTGGCCCGAGTGGACCTTCAGGTGCAGTCCTACGGGGGTCCCCCGATCGCCGAGCGCGATGCGGCAGTGGCGTCTTGCGCGCTTGTGTTCGGTCCCTCCGCAGAGATTGGATTGCACATGTGTTGGGTGCAAGAGCAGACTTGGCTTTATTCGGCTCGGTGAGTTCTGTGACGCGTTGCAGCGATTTTCCTTGTCGCTCCTTTTTCCTCAGTGATTGCGATACCAGCGGTAGGAGGGCCACCCTCACAGACACCGCTTCCAGTCCAGTCCAGTCCCGCAGCCCCCCAACAGCAGCGCACCAAAGTTCCCTCGTACCCAGGGCCACTCTTGCGTTCCAGCGCTGGGGATGGTGTGGAGCGATCGCCGCATGCAGGCGCTTGTGCATGTCATTCGGCAGCGAGCCTGTCAGGGCCAGCGATAGAGGGGGATAGGCACAGGAGGGGGAGGTGCATCCACTCCTAATGTTGTGATGTTTCAACGTACTTTAGCCTTGACTACCAGAAAGAATTTCGAGCACCAAGAAAGTATCGAAACTGGAGGGTTTTCGCGTGTCGGGCCCTGGGATCCGATACTCGTTCGACATTGTTTCGATACTTCTGGTTGCTCAAAATTGTTTCTGGGATGTGGTCCTGAAATACGATGGGAGCAACATAATCCTAATGGCCCGTTGATCGCCGATAGGGCCCGATAGCCCCAACCTGCCCAGGAATTTACGGATTTCGCGATGCGTCGCCGATTCGAGGTCGATATTTTCCCTCCTGCCAGGCCCCCTATCGTTGCCCCTCAGCCTGGGGGGGGGCAGTGGGAAGGGGCGGGCCTTCTCAGAAGGCTCGGAGGGCCTCGGGCCTTCAAAGAAGTCTTCTGGGCCTTCCCCGAAGGCGCAGCAGGCTTCGCAGGAGGCGCGAAGGCTTCTCAGGAGTCCCGCCGCCTTCTGAGGAGGCCTCGCGTCCGAGCCATAGCCAGGGTTCGTTTCGATTCCTTCGATTTGAGCCGATTCGATTGCAATGGCTGCCGATTCCGATCCGATTCGACTCGGGATTCCGGTTCGGGCTCCGATTTTTCGATAGAGGCATAGTAGTCTGCCGATTTCCGCCGATTCGACTTCCCGATTCTGCTGCCGATGTCCGCCATAGCATTGCAGCATCGTGTGACTCATGCCGCTGCCGATATCATTCGAGTGCTGACGAGGCCCAGCAGGGGGCGACACGCTGGCAAGCGTATTGTCAAAGGCAAGGGCTTGTGAGCGCCATAAGTAAGAGGCAGATGGATAGGGATACATCGTTTCATAGCGTTTCGGAACGCTCTCAGAGCGTTCCAGAACGCTCTGAGACGGCCGCGGCGTCCGATACAGCCCTCAGAAACGCTAGAACTTGCCCAGAGTTATCTCCGAAAGAGCGCGGTTGTGGCGCACTTCTCACTTAAATGGGGGCCCCAGCTTCAAGCTACCCCCCCCCTCCCTTGGGAAAGGAGCTTCGAGGCTCCTTCCCCCCTCCCCCCTTTTGTGGACATTTCGGAGCCAGGGGGGGGTCCTAGCTTAGGGGTGGGAGGGTGGCTTGGAAGCTCCCCTCCCCTCTCCTTTTCGGAGCCAAGGCCAGCCCGGGCTTCCTTTCAAAGGGGGGAGGGCTTCGGAAGCTCCCCCCCTTTTCGCAGCTGAGATTGCCATGTCAAGGGGGGGGGGGCTTCAAAGCTCCCCCGCCCCCTTCCTTTTCTGGACCCCAAGGCCAGCCCAGGCTTACCTTTCAAAGGGGGGGGAGGCTTCTGAAGCTACCCCCTCCTGAGATTGCCGTGCCAAGGGGGGGGGGCTTCAAAGCTACGCCCCCTCCCACCTTATCCAGAGCCCAAGGTTAATTAGGCTGGGCTTCGTTTTTTAAGTGGGGTGGGGCTTTGGAAGCTACCCCCCCTCCCTCTCCTTTCCATATCTGCTCACTTGCGCTGCTGGGGTCATGGATGAGGGGACGGGCCAGGTCTTCAGCAAGTGCCGCACCTGGAACTCTGCAGCCGCTTCGGGTCCAGGGCGGCGCGCGCTGCCCCTGGCCTTCTCGCGCACACCGCAGCCGGGCACCCCTCCAGGCCGGCGCAGGGTTGACCTGCCGTGCGCCCTGCCCGCGGACAGTTGACGCGCTGGCGGCCGGCCCAGGCGCTGGCCCCCTCGCCGCCCCCTACAAGGACGGCGTTGCCACCACGAACTGTTCGTGTCAATGTCTGGTGCACCTGCTCGTACGCTTCAGCCGGATATCCCGCATGAGGGATGTAAACAGCACAAAACGAAATCTTCCCTTCCGTCGCGCAAGCTGCAAGTCGACGCCGAGTGTTCGATCAGACACGGAGCGTGCCGACCGGATGCTGCCAACCAGCCGTGCATGTATCAGTACACCCACACCTGATGCAGAGTAATCTTCACGGTGCATATGTAAACGATGCCCACTCTCCAGTTCCGCTGTTTGATTTTCCGCGCGAGTTTCAATGAACGGCACGACGTCCCACTCCAATGTCGTTAATTCGACCGTTCGCTGTGCAAGTCTGTGTGGGCCATTGAGCCGTGCATTCTTGCAGACCACATGCAGTTTCCCCTCCCGTGGATGGGGTGAAACCAGACTCGATCGGCGCTGTCCCTGTTTCGTGCCCTCGGCCCGTCCTGCACTGCTCTTGCTTGCCTTTGCCTTTGCCCTTGCCTTTTTTCGGCGTGAGGCTTCTCGTCAACCTCTCCTCATACATGCTCGCCATCTCCTCAAGCTTCGCACTCCGAGGAAAACACCCCAACCTTCCCCGAAATCCGTAATGAGATCGGTACTGCCCACTCCCGTGCTGATGACTTTCTTTCGACCGACGTACAAAGTCTTGCTCGGGAGGTCCACCCAACCGCACTTCCTGTCGTAGTCCCAACCAACCAAGAAACGTTTGAGAGCAGACAATAATGAGATTGGGATGCATTCTCCTGGAGGCGCGTCTGGAAACATGTTGACCTCTTTATCCCCGAACTTCAATGACTGCTCCCTCACTGCCCTTATTGCCTACTACTTCTCATCCTGCGTGCGGAACTTGAGGAACAGGATGCCAGTGAATTCCCCCTTGGAATACACCTCAGTAGGCATAGGTCCCCCAAACTCCCAAATCTCGTTTGAATTCACTCCTTTGCCTCCTCCTCCTACATGTCAGCGAGTCCATTGGCCACTGCAATGACCTTTCGTTCATCCGTGGGTGTAGTTCTCGGGGTACTGTTCCACGATGGTGGAGCGGTGTGGGTCCCTTCGAAGTACATCTTTATCTGCTCCAGTTGCTCGCTCCAATGGTGGATCTTGTTTTCGTTCTCCTAGATCATCCAGGTGATGTCCCTGGAGGCGCAGGACTGCTCAAACGCGTCCATGCGCATCCTCATCTCGTCCATGCTGTTCTTCATGTTCAGCTCCACCGTGTCCATCCCGCTGTGTGATCGATTGATCGATTCGACTGGCTTCGTCATAGGGTCGAGCCTCTCCTTGAGCTTCCTCTCCAAGATGTTCTCCATTGCGTCGGTGGGCGCCTTGACGGTGACGGAACGTTCCTCTGCCAATGCCTCAGGCGGAGTACCTGGAGCTGCCGTTGTAGATATCTGCACCTCCACCGGACGTAGCGGACGTAGCGGAGAGATATCTAGACCATCCATGACGTTGTGGGACGTCACGTTCACCTAGCATTCCACGCACTGGGAGGCCTGGCTGCCACGTGCTCGCCGGCATGTGTTGGGAGCGGAGTGTGTTAGACAAAATTGTTTGGCACAGCTGTTCGGCACAGCGGAGTGTGCTAGACAAAAATGTTTTGGCACAGCTCTTGAGCCAGTGCTTGAGCCAAAGGGAGGGGCGCGCGCATTCATGGTCACATTGCTCGTCGATGTCAGCTGCCGCTCTGGCCTCGTGCACCGTGGTGTCTGGAGGTGGGGGTCGGGCGAAGCATCGCCCTGACCAAGCTCAGGTGGCTCACCCACCACCTCGTCCCGGGGCTTGGGGGGCGTCTGTGAGGTCGGGCAGTCGGGGCGCTTGCGTGGGGGCGCACCGTTCTTTGCGGACGTCGGCAGACAGGAAACCCTGCCGGTGCCGCTGATGTTGACGGCGATGTTGCTGATACTGATGGTGTTGTTGCTGCTCATCCTTCTTCTTCTGCCCTTCCTGATGCCGCTTCCGCTCCAACTCCTCCCTCCTTCCTGTGACTGCCCATCATTCCTTCTCAATGTCCTGCCTCTTTTCCTCTTGTCGTTTCCCTGGCCGCCTGTGCCCTCGCCTCTGTGTCCAGTTCACCCCCCCCTCTTCCTACGAGCTGCGGCGCCGCTGCCGGTCTTGCTGAATGCTGCACGTCGGTGCTAGTGGTGGTGGAGGGGGATTCTCATGCACTCTAGACTCACGGGACCTCTGTGGCTTCCCATCAAGAGGGGCCCCCAGACGACAGGAAGTATTCCTCCCCTCCCAAAGCCTCACCAAAGCTCCCTTTGGGCTCCCGCAGAAGGCTCCACGAGCTCCAAGTTGATTCTGAGAGAGCTCAAGAGGACCCACGCGGCTCCAGGATGGCCCCAAGACAGTCCCAAGAGACCGCACGAGGGCCCCAAGAGGGCCCCCCAAACTGCTCGAACTAATTAGTCATATCTGCCAGCGTTGATTCCAAATCGATGTAGTCGAATGTCTGGGAGGTGGACTCAGTTGGAACACCCATACTCAGTCCCCACAGTTGCGGGTACGAGAGAGAAGTGCGCAAACGGTGCGCGTGCGCGTGTCCGTCGTCAGTGTCCGTCCCCAGCGTCCATCCCCAATGTCCATCCCCCGTGTCCGTCCCCGTGTCCATCCCCAGTGTCCATCCGCAGTGTTCATCCCAAGTGGCCACCCCCCTATCATTCCCAGTCTCTATTCCCAGTGGCCATCCCCGGTGCCCCTCCCCGGTGTGTGTATGTGTGTGTGCGTGTGTTTGTGTCCATCCCGAGTCTCCATCCCCAGTGTCTATCCCAGAAGCATGTCATCCTGAGCCACGATCGCACGCCTAGGGAACATATCACACTTTTCGGGCAACATTTTTCTCTCTGAATGACTCCATGGGGCTTCATGGGCTCCGTTGGATTGCCCATGTGACTCCATCTGCAGAGTGCAGGGGCCATAGGTGGCGGGGACAACAGCAGAGGGAGGCACACGCGATGAATCCGAATATTATGATACGCAGATGTACATCCTCACCCTGACCAAACTGCGAATTGTAGTCGCGCTTTCGGTAACCAGTTTGCGCTGGTGTCCAAGACACGTAGAACCTGAGCTCGAGCGAAGCGTGGCGATGGTTTTAGTTGAAGTGGGTGCAGCAGCGGGAGTCGCAGCGCAATTATCAGAGGATGTCTTCCCTACCGCCACTCCTCGCTCCTCCCCTTTGCAATTCGTTGCCCCGCCTTCCTCTCCACACCTATCCTTCCTGTCGGCGGCGAGCCCGGGGGGGGGGGGGAGTGAGAAGGGACGTGTCTTCTCAGAAGGCTCAGAAGGCGTCGGGCCTTCTGAGAAGTTTTCTAAGCATTCCCCGAAAACACAGAAGCCTTCGCAGAAGGCCAGAGGGCTTCTGAGAAGTCCCGCCGTCTTCTGAGAGGGCCTGCTCCTTTTTACTTTCTTCCCAGGGCTGGCCGCCTATGCTGCATTCTCGTGTTTCGCCGTCCTAGATCCAAGAAGAACAAGAAGAAGAAGAGCCGTTCCCGGAGCTCTTCGAAGTCGAGCTCCTCTGCCAGCTCCAGCAGCAGCAGCCGCGCTCGCCGGACTGCGCGCCCCCCGGCGACGCCTGCCACGGGGCTCGACCCAAACGGCGTTTGGGCGATTCCGTGGACCGTTTTCGTTTGGACTTCGCGTTGCAGCGAAGGCGGAACGATGGCACAGCGAGGGAACACGGAACAACAAAGACGAAACGAAACAGATTGTTTAGGTCGAGTTTTGGTTTGCCTCCGTCTCACCCCTCCTCGTGCCGCAGTCCAGTGCCTTGTTGCCGCCCGCCCTTCGTCTCTCTATGGCCAGCAGCAGTTTCGAAGCCCAGCCCAGGGATGCTCGTGATGCGACGAGCGTGCCCCGCTATACACCAAGACGCGTCGGGAACATCTCGATCGGATTTCCAAAGGCCTCGTGCCAGAATTTCTCAACCAGGACAGAAAGGCGGCCAGGTCCTCCACTCAATTTGGTCTGACTCGCTTCGGGACTGGTATTTCCTTACCTCCTGTACCCCGCCCGCCCACGCCTTCCTACACCCTGCCCCCCCACAAACCTCCGTATCCCCCTCCCCCCCTTCCCCCCCCCCTTCTCCTACGTACGCAGCTCCCCTTCTCCGATCACGGAGTCTTCCTGGGAGTTCCAGGTCCGCCGTGACACGCGTCCGCGGACAGAGGAAGCATGGGCGCAATTGGAAGGGATGGGAGGCCGCGATGGCAGGATGCCAGAGATGGCGCGGCCGCACCTGGCCTCCCCCCTCTCCGAGGGCCACGGGTGCCGCTCGGTTCTGCGGCGCGGGGGATGGGCTAGGGGCAGGGGCGACGGCCCCAAGCCCCGCCCCGACCCCGGGTGATTCTCGAGGTGGTTGTCGCTCTGGCGCTCTGGGTGGTGGCGACTCGCCGTAGGCGCCTTCGATACTCTTCGGCTTGATCCTTGTCATCCTTCTCTCTCTCTCTCTCTCGAGGGGTCCACTGCTGACTTCTCTGTTTGATTTCTTACGTGCCAGCTCATTTGGCTTCGTGACTCATCCCAGACGTCGATATGTGTGTGTGTGTGTGTGTGTGTGTGTGTGCGCTCTCTCTTTCTCTCTTTCTGTATGTCTGTCCCTCTCTCTCACACTCTTGTTGTGCCGCTCTCTCTCTCTCTCTCGTCTTCGTTTTGATATGCATTTTGTTGGTTTGAATTTTGGTGTTGCTATGGTCATTATTGTTGTTGTTGTGGAACTTTCATTCCTGAGTAATAATTATTATTGACCTCCCCCTCCTGTAAACTATATGTTTCCCAACCATCCTGCGTTGTTGGTGTCATCATTTTGAAGAGGCAGTGCCCCGCGTTCCTCCTCCCCTTCCCGGTGCCTCATCCCTCTTCCTCTTCTCATCATCATCATCATCATCGTCATGATCATCATCATCACCACCTTCATCATCACCATCGTCATCATCATCATCATCGCCATCATCATCATCAACAGCACTTTCATCAACATCATCAACATGATCATCATCATGATCATCATCATCATCATCACCATCATCATCATCAGCATCATCATCATCATCATCATCAACATCACCATTATCAGCATCATCGTCACCATCATCATCATAATCATCACCATCACCATCATCACCATCATCATCGTCGTCATCATCGCCATCAACGTCATCAATATCATCATCGTCATCCGCATCATCGTCATCCGCATGGTGGCGCTGCCCCTTTTGAGCACATCTCTCGCACGCTTCGTGGCCTCATAGGGAGCTCAACCTGAAGTCCCAGCGGCGCAGTCCGCACGGCAGCGGCGCCGCCCCATTTTGGCACATTCCTCAAAGTTCCGCGGCCCCACAGGGAGCTCCACCTAAGGTTCCAGCGGCGCAATCCGCATGGCGCCGCCGCCCCATTCTGGCACACCTCTCACGCGCTTCGTGGCCCCATGGGGAGCTCGACTGACGGTCCCAGGAGCGCAGTCCGCATGGCGGCGCCGCCCCATTTTGGCACACCCCTCACACGTTTCGTGGCCTCATCGGGAGCTCCACCGAAGGTCCCAGTGGCGCAGTCCGCATGGCGGCGCCGCCCTGTTTTGGCACACCCCTCACACGTTTCGTGGCCCCAGGGGAAGCTCCGCCCTGCATCTTTTTGGCACACTCTTCACGCGCTTCGTGGCCCCATAAGGAGATCCACCGAAGGCGATACTAACAACGACGGTATTCACAACTGCATATGGTTGTGTCTTTCGCCAGGCAAATTTGAATTGAAGTGCCCTCCTGAGGCCCGCATCGTTTTTTTGAAACAAAATATCAGGGGAAGTCTTCTTCCTCAAACTGCATTGTTGGGCCCCGGTCTACAACAACAGCGGCTCCTGTCTGATACTTTCTCGCAACGTATTGGGGAAGCGCGCTCTCGCGCGGGACTTCCTCACACTTGTTGTAGGAATCGCGCTCTCGCGTGGGTCTTCCTTGCAATGTATTCAGACGATGCGCCCTCGGCGCTCAGGGATCACGCTCTCGCTTTGGGCTCTATCACGATGTTCATAGGGAATCGTGCTATCGCTCGAGACGTCCTCGCGATTCATGCTGGACCCACGCTTCAGCAACCCGCTTGCTCGACCTGGTCGCCTGGGCCCGCCTTCCCGACCTGCCCGCTATGGGTCTGCCCACCCGATCTACCCGTTTGGTTCTACCACTTTTTCTCTGCTCGTTGACCCCCTCCAGCTAATTTCTCTCGCGCCCATTCTCCCTCCCCCTTCCACCCGTCCTCTCTTTCTCAGTTTTAGGGGCTGCACTGGACGCACGTGGCAGGTAAGGAAGATATGTCCCCCAAGGGGGTACGATCGAAGACGACGAGGGCGGGTACCGAGTGTTTGGGATACACGTATTGATTTTCACGTGAGCAGATAGAAGCGAACAGACTTAACATGATTGTTGTTGTTGTTGCCGGGGGCGCCTCTGTGTGCCCCGTCCCCAAGGGGAGGTGGGCGGCGGGGGGTGGGAGTGCAGCAGGCGGGCACCCACGCCGACGCCCACGCCACGCCCACGCCCACACCCACGCCGACGCGTACGCCCACGCCCGCACCCACGCCCAGTGCCCACGCGCAAGCCTACGCCCACTGCTACTACCACTACTATGACCACTGCCACTATTAATTGTACTGCTGCTACTAGCCACTGCCACCATTGCCGAAATCATTTCAGTGTTAGTAGTAGTAGTAGTAGTAGTAGTAGTCGTATTATTATTAGTAGTAGTAGTAGTAGTCGTAGTCGTAGTAGTAGTAGTAGTAGTAGTAGTAGTAGTAGTAGTAGTAGTAGTAGTAGTAGTAGTAGTAGTAGTAGTAGTAGTAGTAGTAGTAGTAGTAGTAGTAGTAGTAGTAGTAGTAGTAGTAGTAGTAGTAGTAGTAGTAGTAGTAGTAGTAGTAGTAGTAGTAGTAGTCGTAGTAGTAGTAGTAGTAGTAGTACTGCTGCTGCTACTACCACTACTACCCTACTGCCACGACTACCACTACCACTACCTCCACCACTACTAGTATTACTACTACTACTACTACTACTACTACGATTATAAATTCTATTACGACTACTATTACTACTACTACGACTACTATTGCGAACACGGCTGCTACTACTACTACCACCACTACTTGAACTACTCATGTTACAGCGACCTACGACTACGACTACGACTACGACTACAACTACTACTACTACTACTACTACTACAACTTCCGAGTAGTACTGGAGTAGCGGTAGTAGTTGTAATAGTACAATTTTTGCAGCTACTATTTCCACCACCACCACCACTAATATTATTATTATTATTATTATTCTTACCATTATTATTATTGTTATCATTATTATTATTACGATCGCCACTACTCTTACTACTGCAATGATTACTACACTTACGACGACTGCTACTTTTATTATTCCCTACCTAGGCCCTGCCTAGAGGGTTCTTACTCTCTTAGCTTAAAGGGGCCGGGCAGTGCTACACGCCCCGGGCGGTTCCCCCGGTCCCCGCCCCGCGGTTCCCCCAGTCCCCTGCGAGCTTTAGCCTTAGCTTTAGCTTTAGCTTTAGCTTAGCTTTAGCTTAGCTTTAGCTTAGCTTCAGCTTAGCTGTAGCTTAGCTTTAGCTTAGATTTAGCTTAGCTTTAGCTTAACGTTAGCTTAGCTTTAGCTTAGCTTTAGCTTAGCTTTAGCTCAGTTTTAGCGTAGCTTTAGCTTAGCTTTAGCTTAGCTTTAGCTTAGATTTAACTTAGCTTTAGCTTAGCTTTAGCTTAGCTTTAGATTGGCTTTAGCTTCGCTTCAGCTCCGTTTCAGCTTCGCCTTAGCTTAGCTTTAGCTTAGCTTTAGCTTAGCTTTAGCTTAGCTTTAGCTTAGCTTTAGCTTAGCTTTAGCTTAGATTTAGCTTAGCTTTAGCTTAGTTGTAGCTTAGCTGTAGCTTAGCAGTAGCTTAGATTTGGCTTAGCTTTAGCTTAGCTTTAGCTTAGCTTTAGATTGGCTTTAGCTTAGCTGTAGCTTAGCTGCAGCTTAGCTGCAGCTTAGCTTTAGCTTAGCTTCAGCTTAGCCTTAGCTTAGCTTCAGCTTAGCTTCAGCTTAGCATTAGCTTAGCTTTAGCTTAGCTTTGGCTTAGCTTTGGCTTAGCTTTAGCTTAGCTTTAGATTAGCTTTAGCTTAGCTTTAGCTTAGCTGTAGCTTAGCCTTAGCTTAGCTTTAGCTTAGCTTTAGATTGGCTTTAGCTCAGCTTTAGCTTAGCTGTAGCTTAGCTGTAGCTTAGCTGTAGCTTAGCTGTAGCTTAGCTGTAGCTTAGCTGCAGCTTAGCTGCAGCTTAGCTTCAGCTTAGCTTTAGCTTAGCTTTAGCTTAGCTTTAGATTAGCTTCAGCTTAGCTTCAGCTTAGCTTCAGCTTAGCATTAGCTTAGCATTAGCTTAGCATCAGCTTAGCTTTGGCTTAGCTTTGGCTTAGCTTTGGCTTAGCTTTAGCTCAGCTTTAGCGTAGCTGTAGCGTAGCGTTAGCGTAGCTTTAGCGTAGCGTTAGCTTAGCTTTAGCTTAGCTGCAGCAGAGCTGC